TTTTGAGGCTTGTTTATGTGTCTTCTCATTTCCACTGCGGTGTGTGTGTGTGTGTGTGTGTGTGTGTGTGTGTGTGTGTGCTTCTGGCGCCCATGCGGTTCACATTCTCTGCCCTAGGAGCTTGGGATGGCAGTGGGGGAGCTTCCTTCCAGGTGCTGGGACCGGCTGAGCTTCTCTGCCCTTGGAGCCTGGGATGGAGGCAGGGAGCTTCCTCAAAAGAAATGTTTTTTAATTGAAAGAAGGTCTCTCTGTTGCCCAGGCTGGCCGCCAGTTCTGCTTATCCAATCTTTCTGCCTCAGACTCCCAAGTAGCTGAGACTACAGGCATACACCACTGTTCCTGACTTGAATTTGTGTTGGTAGATGAATGAGAGGAGGTTTTAGGAGTGAGTCTACTTCTCACAGATTGGAAAGAAATAATATCTCTGCCTTTTAGCCAATGTTTGCAATGATTTCTGACTTATTCTTGTTAGCAATCGCTACTTATTTATTTACTTAATTTTGGTTTTTTGAGATAGAGTTGTGCTATGTAGTTTAGGCTGGTGTTGAACTAACTATATAGCCTAAGCTGGCCTGGAACTTATGGTCCTCCTGCCTCAGCCTCCTGAGTGCTGGGAGGCTGGCTTATTAGCAATCACAACTTATTTTGTAAATTGTGGAGCCTATCTGCAAAGTAGGAATTGTAGACTGTGAGAGGCTTAATGAGATCATTCTCATGTTCAGAGCCAGTGTTTCTGGGTATGTTCTGCTAAGTCCCTGTGAAAAGAATCTTCTTAAGGAAACAAGTATTTACAGAGAAGGATACTGTTCTTCAAGGTTATTCCTCTGCTTAAAGCAGTCACCTGCTGTACTGTTTGTTCATTACAAATACATATAATTCAGTCCAACAAATTATATATTTAATGAAGATGCCTTAAATAGTGTCCTTAAAGTCCGGCACAATCAGGGATGTTTTTCATCTCTGGCCTAGAGCATATTCGATTCTATTAATAACAGGTGAATTTTCAGGATTCCAGAATATATGCAGTTGGGCCTAGTGTTTCACAGGTCCTTAATTCATCAAAAGCAATGCCAAGTGGCTGAGGGTGTAGCTCAGTGGTAGAGCATGTGCTTAGCATGCATGAGGCCCTTGGTTCAGCCTCAGCGCATGCACACACACTTGCATGTGCGCGGGTGCACAAGCAGTGTCACACTGAGCTGTTACTTGAGTGCAAGTATCTTCTAGCATCTTTTGCTGACATCACCCCCTTGGTGGTTGGAGGCAGAAGGCAGGAAGATTTGAAGCTCAGATTTCCCCTGAGGGGAGCAGTTGTGATCACCCCTTTTCTCCAGGGAGAATTCCTACAAGGAAAGAGTGTTCAGAACTCTTACTGGGACAGAAATTATGGGCCCATGGTGCTATCCCATTGTGATTGTCTTCTGCTTTATTTTGGAAAAAGGAACAAGGTTCCCCATTACATCATAGGGTCTAGGCAGGTATGTACATCTAATATTTGAAAAATGAGTAAGAAGTAGAATTGGGAATGAAGGGATTGAAGCAAGGATTTGCAGATGTTTTGGAGCCTCCTCTCTTAATGTAAATATACAGACTGAAATTTGGGGCAGAAACTTGGGAACTTTTGCGTACATTTTTATTTATTTATTTATTCTTTTTTTGTGTATGTGTGGTGCTAGTGATCAAACTCAGGGCGTCATACATCTTAGGCAAGCATTCTACCACTGAGCTATATCCCCAGCTCTACTCTTTTAGAAAGAAGGG